CAGCATCAGATTTAACACCACACATATATGATTATACATTTTATACATAGGGGGGGATTGCGCATGTATTTAGTAAAAGTGTCTGTCCCTTGTCTTATCCCTTTAATCCACTCTTCAGGAATCTAGTTGTCTAGAAAGGACATGTTATTGAACAGGCTCAAGTGGAAAATGTCTTGTGTCTTTTCCCAGGGCACTGACATCACCCAGCCGGCCCTGGAAGCACTGGCCCAGAGCCACGTCCGCAGGGTGCTGATAGTTGGCAGGAGAGGACCTGTGCAGGTTGCTTGCACAATCAAGGTGTGTGTCAGAAGAGACAATTTGTCAGAGATAAGAATTAAGCCTGTCGCTGGTTAGTAAACCAGCCTTTTGAAAAAGGCAGACAAATCTGTCAGCCATAGCCATTGGCTTTCTTTAGTACCTTTACTCTGACCCAAATGTTTTGTAGTGAGATTTTGATTCAACCCCAACAACACACCAAGGCTTATTGGTTCAACTTTGACCTACAGTACAGTTCTGAGGAGTAGAGCGCTGCAGGTTCCCTTGTCCTGAAGTCGAGCTTTTTGAGCTGCTCAGATCCCTGAAAGCTTAACAGGTTTTAGGGTTTTGTTCTAAGCCACAGAATAAATACCCCATTCATAAGCTTTGACGTGCCTCGCACTCTGCAAGAAGTAGCTGAGCGTGGCTACTAAACGTCATCGGGCTAATCTACTATGTCGCTAAAGCCTGAACAAGTCTCTTTGAAGTCCGCCACGTAATCAATAAGGGCTGAACATCCAGCTACTGGAAATCCTTTAGATGATTCTTCTCCCCAACTCGACACAACTCTCATGCCGAGGGTTGAGTCTGGAAAATGTGTTGTTGTACCTCTGCCCCGAAGCTGTAAACCCAGCTGGGAGCCCTGCATGTCACAATTGCAATCAGACCGGATCAACAGAAAGGGAAAGAGAACGGGTTGGTTTCCCTGCGGGGTATTTCCATAATGTCGCCCACTCAAAATAACATTGAGGACGCCGAGTTGCCCGTTTGCTTTGCAGCCCTCCAGGGGGATGCCGTCTGTTCTCACACACCAATCAACCAATGAAGAAAACATGTTGTGCCCAATAGTCAATACAGTTTTTCTCAGTTGCTTTGGTACATTTCTCCAATCATCCTCGACATCTGTTGCAAAACAGTAGGTGCAATTGTCAAAACAATTCCTACAAATAGTAAAGCACCTGTAAAAGCCACTTGCTCAAAATCCTTAGTTCATCTCTGAGAAGTAAATATCTGTGTCAATGAACCAACCGCCAAGACAAATTCCTTGTATGTTTGACGTATTTTGGTAATAAATGTTTCCTGATCCTGATGTCAGTGGCATCAGAATGACAAGTCCTTTTGTCATTGTGTACGGACCACACAGTCCACGACAACTGCTTTGTCGTGTTGTCAGTTTAACAGTGTACTCCTGGAGGTTCTGTTCTGATGTAAACAATGGCTAGTTTTGAAGTTTTGATGACATTTATTGTCTGTATTGTTGGTGTATATGTATAAGATTGATTGCATTTACACTGCATAGCACAAAGAGAGAAAAAGGAGTAGGACAATATCCTTAGGGCAAGCTGCACATGCAATGCTGTAGGAATAACAGTGCATTTATCTGCTGTGATGACATCACACGCTGCATCCATGGCAGCCAGAAGGGTCATCTGTGTATGTGGCTGGAAATCACATACTTTCCATCTCCATGCTGATGGGGGTTAAGGAATGGGGAGTAAAATGAGCAACAGCATGCTGCTGTGGGTCGCTAACCATCGCCTGATGATGTTGGAGCGATAGAAACAGACTTTGTCTCTAAGTATCACGTGGCAAGTCGTCTCCAATCTGACCCTCTCGTGTTCAGGGATGAGATCCCTGTAGGAAGTATGGAAAAAGGTGACAAGACGCTCTGTATTGTTTGGCCAAATAATGTGTGCACAAGTTTGGCTCTTACCTCATTAGGAACACGCATGTAGAGACTTATTGGATGAACTAATGCCTAAATGTTGTGGGCGGTGATACTATTCAACAGAGACCCATTATAATACATTTTGATCAACATGACATAAGCAATTGATAATGTAGGAAAACAAAATTGTACAAAATAATGTGCATGGATGTACAAAAGCATTTGCAACTTGTTCAAAACTGCTTTTTTGATGTGCACAAGTGACCATGATGTGAAGATTGAACAGGTAGTTAAGAATTTCAATTCTAATCTGAGAAATGTACAAAAGCGGCCGAGAAAAACTGTAAGACACCTGAGACCTGAAAAGTTGGGTCCAGGGGGAAAGTTATGTATCTAAATGATTCTCTGGTGCCATCTTGCCAATCCAGCCGTTTTCTCCTCCTCCACAGGAGGTCAGAGAAATGGTGAACCTGCCAAACACCAGACCCGAGATGGTGGCGGCAGATTTTGAGGGTGTCGCAGAGGCTCTGAAAGGTGAGAAATTGTGTTTCATGTTGCCAGTTTTCTTTCTTTCTTTGAGAAACTACCTGTTTCTGGCTGTGATCATTGCACACAGGTACATTGCATTTGCCACACCTATTGTTGACTTTGCGATCTTTGTTACTTGGGCAGATCTGACACCTCTTTCTCTTTGGTTGGCCCTGTCTGCTTCCTTCCTGTGGCTGGGTTGTGGCTTTTGTCACCCCACACCTTTCCATTGCTTCAAGAATTGGGTTTGCAGTTGGGGGCAGCCTTCCAGTCGACTCCTCATGTGTGGTGTGACAAGCTCCTTTGAGAGCTCTTTGAGGAAGAGCCGTCGTGCATTGAATTCTGGGTGCGGAGCCGTGAAAAAGGTGTAGGCATTCAGGGTGGCGATGTCAATTATGTTGTACCACAGCACCATGGGCCACCTCTGTTTGGCGCTTGCAGGTGTAGGTGCCAACCATCTGGTCAGTGGTGTCTACACCTCCTTTCGTCTTGTTGTAATATGTGATCACTTCTGTTTTTTTCTTTCTGCTATTTTCATCTACTTCTTTGTCGTGGTGCATCGTGCTTAGGAGCACAACCGCTTTTCCTTTCTTTCTGACAAAGCTGACCATGGTAAGGCTGTCGTTGAATCCAAACTCTGTGCTGTGAACCTCCCTGGACTTGGAAGGCTTCATCAGAGGAGGGATGTCTGGCTTGTTCTGACGTAGAGTCCCCACAATAGTGGGATCCTTCTCCAGGAGATGCTGCGCAAGAGGCACACTGGTGAAAAAGTTATCCATGGTGATGTTGCGACCTGTGTTTCTAAATCTACTACACAACTTCTGGACAATGTTTTCCCCCAGATTCTTCTGAACTTCTTCCCCTGGTTGTCTCCCCGTGTAAACTATACCATCTATTGCATAGGGGATGCGTGCATCACAAACCCAGAAGATCTTTAGGCCGTATTTGGCGGGCTTGCTCGGCATGTACTATAGAAACTTGCACCTACCCCTGAATGGCACAAGCTGTTCGAAAACAATCTTCCTGAGGGTTGACACTTCTGATATAGTCTGTGTGGTCCACAGTCAAATGTATTCCTGACAGCCACAGTTGATAAGAATCAAAGGTTCCCATTGGATTCCATAGAAAACGCATACGGGTCATTTTTGACCCAATTATGGAAGCTTGGGGTAGTAATACAAAAACTACAATTTCTTAAAATGTATAACAGGTAAGTTAAAAATGTAAATGGAATTATATCAAAAACATGTTTTTTGAGGAATACCTGGAATATGAAATGATAACAATTTTTCATTACGAAGATATTTTAAGAAAACAACCTCATTGGGTCATTTTTGACCCACTTGTGCATCTAAGGGTTAAGCAAACTAGCAGTACAGAACGGGTACCGTATGTTATTGTTCTTGTGGAGAGTATGTGTTGAAGCGAGTGTTGCTGAGGCCGCCAAAAATGACACACGGAAGGAATGAAACTTTGCTGTGGTTAGCAGCCACGACATGTGCCCATGTAGGGGAATAGAAACTGTAAACCAGTAATAGATCTGTGGTTGCTATGTTTTTTTTCTGCTCGTGTGAGAAGCTGTAGAATTGTGCAACACCACAAAGCGTCTTCAGCCTCCTTCGCCTCCTCTTCCTCTTTGTCTTGCTGTGTTATCATCCATCGGAATGGAGATGCTCGCTCGCGCTTTCCTCTCTTCGCGTATTGTAATGTACATTTCTCTTCACTTCAGTATATCTGCTGTTAACCGTCTGCAGGTAATCACAAACGCTGCCCCTGGTGGCTTGTAGGATGCACTTTAGCCTCCCACGGTCTGAGACTGCAGCACATCTCTACTAATTCGCCAAACACCGGCCTGTGCGCTCACGTCCAATTTGTCAAATTCTCTGTCCATCCTACGCACTGTCCTTAAGACCCGTGGCAACTGAGCTTTTGAGGCCCGGAAGTTGTGGAATTCCTTGCCTGCACCTCTATGGGAGGCTGAGTCTGTAGTTCATTTTAAAACCTGTTCAGACCGGCGTTCGTTTGAATCAATACCAAACCCTGATTTAGTCCGTTGTTATTGTATTTTATACAATAATGTATTCCCTCGCTTGTGAAGCACTTTGTGTAGTGCTTTATAAATACCCGTTTTACTTACTTTGCCAGGGGAGTGTCAGTGGACTGCATTGGCAGTGACTGATAACAGAACCTTGATCTCATCTCTGCTAAACAGAGATAAGCAGCAAGCGAATGACGCTCTTGGAAACTGGGTGTTTGTGTCTCTTTGTTCCACAGTTGGTGAAAAGCACGTGTGCACAGGGAATGTACAAGGACTAGTTTGTTTCTGTCTTAAATGTTTCGGTTTCGGTGTTATTTCTAACACATTTTCCATATTTGCAAGTGGCCACATTTGTGCAAAAGTATATCGTGCATAAATCTATGAACATATGAAAACACCCGCCTACATTTAGATATGTATGCTAGTATTTGTTTTTTTTAACAGCAACTCTTTAGATTTAGTCAGAAGTCTCAGATTTTCATCAACAAAAACTGACAACTTTCGCGCCTGACAGACGTTCATCTTCAGCGGTCTCTTTTGCTCCGTCAGATCTGCCGAGGCCCAGGAAGCGCCTCACGGAGCTGATGTTGAAGACTGCCCTGGAGACCCCCGGAGAGAACGAGCAGCAGAGGCGGAACGGGGCCTCCCGCACCTGGGGCTTTCGATTCTTCCGGAGCCCCGTCAAAATCCTGGCCGACTCCGACCGCGGCGGCGTGGCTGGCATCCGCCTGGCGGTCAACCAGCTGGAGGTTAAACAGGATTTGTTTTTTAAACTCAGGCAGTCCTTTTGTGTGAGCATTTTGCAGCCGTGTAGTTCACCGCCCGGGTTAAAAGTGCTTTTCCTCTGCGTGACCAGGGCTCAGGCGACGGAGCCCAGGCGGTGCTCTCCGGAGAAGTTGAGGATGTGACATGTGGCCTGGTCATCAGCAGCATAGGCTACAAGAGCCTCCCCATAGACCCGGTGCTGCCGTTTGACCCCCGCAGAGCCATCGTGCCAAATGACATGGGCCGTGTTCAACAGGCTGCAGGTACCTCAGCAAATCACCACGGACACCAGAAGAACTTCAAGTAGAACCCAGAATGTAGTGAATTCCTCTTTCTGCCCAGGTCTCTACTGCAGTGGCTGGCTGAAGACGGGCCCCACGGGCGTGATAGCTACCACTATGAACAATAGCTTCGACACCGCTCGGTCCCTGGTGGAGGACCTGGAATCGGGAGCGTTGAACACATCTGCTGCAAAGCCTGGTTCCCAAAGCGTCCGCGCTCTGCTCGAGAAGAGAGGTACTCTACTGCCCCCTTCTGGCTTTTTCTACTACCAGTTTCACTTCTGCAGAGAAGAGTCCACTCGTGACACTACGCGGTCAAATCTACTGTACCAGTCCATTTGTTAACAAATCAAACTTCATTTGCATGGTGTATATTTTATAGGAGTGAAACCAGTGACTTTCGTGGACTGGGAGAAGATTGACAGTGTGGAGGTGAGCAGAGGGGAAGCTGTCGGGAAACCCAGAGAAAAACTTCTGACTGTGGAAGAAATGCTGCAGGTGGCTCGAAGTTAACTGAAGAAAAGAAACACTGAGTAGCTGTATGAAACAAGTTGCCATACTGATGAGGATCACTGAGCAGCAACAAAGGAGACGGCGTCATGGGTCACTCAACAGGGACGTAAATAATATTGTACACATGAGTTGTGGCACTCACTGAAACACCGGACTCTCTACTGGACACCAACAATAATGAACTATTGTATATTGCATTATACTGCATGTATGCTAAATAGTAAAAACTGGCTGAATTTTGTTCTTTGAATATCTTTACACATGCAGGTAGATGTAATAGGTGGACTCGCCATACAGGCCCGGTTGTGGTTTGGATGCTTCACTTTAGATTTCAGATGCAACCTAATTATACTGTGGTATAGGTAGACATTTCTATTTTGACAAAAGTATGACTTATAAGGACCAAAAAACACTGTTGGGTCTTTAAAGGGACAATGATCCCGTCCTCATTAATATAAATACACAGACAGGACACAGCATTACTGGAACCATCAATTTGGCCCCTCCAAAAGTGAGACAATGTGTAGAAATCAATCTATATATCCATCTATGCAGAGGGAATCAGCGAGTGCCCCTACAACCTGGCTTCAATCTCTGGCTTTGATTTAACATGAAAAACACAAAAGCACTATAGTCTGGTTCCTCAGTTTGTACAGACTAAACAACTGAGGAACCAGACTATAGTGCTTTTGCAAAACAAGTACTATAGTCTGGTTCCTCAGTTTGTACAGACTAAACAACTGAGGAACCAGACTATAGTGCTTTTGCAAAACAAGTCCTGTTTAACAAACTGAAGAGAACGACAGAGCGATGGGCAGGACATACATAAGGAACAACATTTTTCTCATCGCACCACGGAAATTTACCTCAAGACAAAGGGGAAAACGTGCACAAACTTGAAGATTTCAGCCATTAAGAATTTATGACAGTATTAGAGCATTATTACATTATGATGAGGTGAATGACCTTTGCATGTCAACAGATTAAAAGACTGCCCGTGCCGTGGGAAAAAAGGATGTAGAACAAATAACAAAAACGTATGTTTTCAGCTGGGACCGTCTTTTTTCGGATGTTCCGATTCCGGACGAAGTGTGTGACATTTTGCACAGTTTTTTGTTCCAAGACTGGTCCTCCCACCAACTTGCAGTGACTGCATTCGTTCTTGGTGGCCAGGTGACCTTTACGAATGTGGTCTTTGCTTGAACCTCAACTTTAGACCACGCTCTTTGTCCCTCTTCTGGACACAGCATCTTTTCCTGGAAGATACACAAAAACGATCACACAAAAATTAGTATTTTGCCTTCTTTCTTCTATACCTTGTAGCAATGCATTTGTGTCCAATTGAAGTACTTTAAAAAGATGCTCTACCATCAAACTTAGCTTACCTTCAGAGAGAGGGTAGTTCTCATTTACTGTGGATGACACGCTTCCTGCTAAAACAAATTTCACAATACTTTATTTTAAAATTTAATTTAAAGTACATTTGGTCAACAGCGACAACTATAAAGTGAGGGGACCTACCTGCATCTTCAAAGTCATGGACCTGCTTGGTGATTGTAGAGTCTGATGCAGGATTTACAGGCTCGCTAGTCTCACCCTCTGATGCTCTGCCTGCTGTGCAACCGTCAACGGATTCACACCCACTGTCCTGGTCTTCAGCGTCGCTTAATGCAATTTCATCTGAAAAATATTAGCACTACTCATGAATGGCTGGACATAAATCAAAGTTTGAAATATTTGTGCTTGTTATATAGTAACATTATTTCAGGCCACAAGTGGCTACACAGTAAACTAAAGAGCTTGTTTGGATGAGAGGACAATAGTTAAAAACCTAAAGCCAATCTTTGTAAGGAATGCATAAAACTACTTTAGCACATTTTTACTTTAACCCTTTCCTACCCATTCTGGGGGTGTCAGGGTAGTGTGTGTCTGGCTGATGTAGATTAAACAATTATTTGCAGATATTATGTATACATATAATTCTGGCAATGTTTGCCCTGTAAAATGTAAACCACAATCAGGTGTGTTCAAAAGATAACACAGTGAGTGTGTTGTAAGTGTTAATTTGTTTACAAACCTTCCACTTCCATTTCATCCAGTGATTTTCGCTGCATGCTGGAAAGATTCCCTTTCTCCATCGATAAAAGCAATTTGGAAAGCTTTGCCAGTTGTGTTGTGGGAACTGGTAATCTGTAGAAATCCCGGTGAACATGAATGTCGTGACCCAGGAAATCTGCAACTTTATCAAGTTCGTTGTTTTTCAAATTAAGGACTTGAGAGTGTGGCGACATGTTTCCTGAGCTGTGTCGACCTGAGGTACTCTGGGTGCTTTGCTCCACACTCGCTCACATGAACACGCAAACAGTCCTTTCCTCTGTAGTGGCTCATCGAGTTGGGTATTGCAAACGATTGAGGATCTGAACATCTTCCGTGAAGGGTAATGTTGATGGCTTGTCAACAGCGAACATGTCAGTGGACATGATCAGGTCCTCATCTTCGGCCATGAGGGCGCTACAATGAACAATGTCACAAAGTGTATGCTCCAATTTCAGTGCGAGGCTTGGTGTTGCGTACGTGTGTTTTTCTTCATCAAAACCTGAAACTTTTACAGCTTGCACAACCCTCTGGAAGTTAGCAGATTTAACAGCCTCCTCTAGGTTATGCACAGAGACGTCCATACGCAGACATAGCAACAAACGCCCCACTTCACGGAGCTTCTGTCGTATGTACTCATACTTAGTAGGGTCTTGTCCATGTTTGTTGTAGAGTGACGGCGCTAAATTAATAATGGAGAGGTCATTTCGCACAACTGAGGCAACCTCATCCTGTTTCAGGACACTAAGGATCTTCCACACTCCACTCGAGATCTGCTGACAGAATGCATTTTCTTGAGCATCAGCCAAAGCCAGTACTTTTGTTCTCCCAGGTTCTCTATTCAGTTCAGCGTTTTCTGGCTTAAAGGGGGATCTGCGGGCATGTCTCCAAAGTTCCTTACGAATGTACATGCCTTGACAGTACATACAGTGAATAAACTTTCCAGCGAGTGCTTTAGCCTTTAGTGTTCTTTTCACTTTCAGTGGCCCCGATTCATCTTGTAAAACTGCAGCGTCTAAAATTTCCCTCATTCCTCATTATCTTTTCTACCAATATCTTGTGCTTTTTTGAGTGCTCAGGGAGGGGAAATGCTTTTACAATTTCAGCATCAGTCTTGTGTGTTTTCAAATGGTGGGAAATTTAGCTTTGTGGCTTACCACAAACATAACAGTACTTTTTTTTGGTCATCATCAGATTGTTTAAGCTCAACTTCACACTTTTCCTTTGGGAGAATTCAGCAGCAGGTGGGCAACCTTTTGAAGAACTGGGATGCTTTTGTCTGACCCATAAGCGGTTCCAACATCAGGTAGTACTGGTCTTACTTGAATCTGTCCAGCTTTCAAATGACTAGGGGTAATGGGGATGCTTTCATCTGAATCATCATCTTGCGCTTCAGAGTCTGGTATGTATTCCTCATTCGACATGCATAAAGAATACAAAAATCCTCAACACAAGCTGGAAGTACAGACAGAAGTCAAATGACTACAATTCAGCTGAAAAGGGACAGATGTTCCTTCCCCCAAAAGGACCAGGAAGGTCTGACAAAGTCAAAGAGAACAGGAGCTTATATACAGTACACTTCAGGGAGGTTTGTGCTGCCTTGGCACAGGAGAGCCCACCCCTCAAAGAGGAGTGTTAGGAAAAGAACCAGGCGACGTAGGGGAGACACCGTGACCCTCCCTTAAAGGACCTGGTCAATCAACAACATCTAAAAAGGTCAGTCAGGGAAAATATGGTTCCATCTATGTCTTCTCACCCTGGACTGCCATAGATCACGGTCTCACATGAAAGGTCACATTCCCCCAACACACTCATTGGCGTCATCATCCCCATTAGATATTTGATCCAGAAACTGGTAAGAAAACAAAGGATTTTACGTGATGGACAGCTACAGACAGTTAAGAGTCCAACAAACGTTGTGCTCAGTTTTCTGTGTCCAACTCACCTCTAATGGGTGTTGGTTATCATTCCTAATTTTTCTGAAGCAGGATTTATGCCAGACTCGTGAAGAAACAAAGACATTTTGAAAATATAGTATACATTTCAATACCACAGATATATTATAAGTTGTTCAGATGAATAGAGATCTGAAATACAGAATGCAAAAGATTTCCCTTTTATAGAAATAATTTATGCCCATCTCTCACACACACACACACACACACACACACACACACACACACACACACACACACACACACACACACACACACACACACACACACACACACACACACACACACACACACACACACACACACACACACACACACACACACACACACGTCATCAAGAACCAGAGCCGTACACAAACAGCAAGTAGCGTTAAGCAGAAGTTGCTCACCTTCTTTAGACTTCCTCAGCAACACAGACTCAAGTGAATGCTGAAGTGTAAGGGCCTTCTTCATGGAGGAGTCATTAGGAGATAGATCTATAGTAAAGTTACAAAAATGAGTGTCATTAACAAACCTCATGAAATATGTAGTCACCAATATTCTTACCTCTCATTGTCCTCTGCTGCCCATTACCACTCATTTCATTCTTGCCACCAACCGGCAAACCAGAGCCTGCAGATAAAGAAGTTGCTTTTCATCAAACATTACTTCATCACCCCTACATTTACTATACTCCACCGCAAAGTTCTTGAATTGAAGTCTCCAACGGGACATAGAGAAATACCTTTGGTAAACCAGACAGTCAGCACAGAAACAAGCAAGGCCCAAAACACTCCCATTACTTCGGTCACCAACAGAAAATGCAACCTGAGTCACGTCGCAGGTAAATATACCCATCTGCAGGTGTCACAGGAGTAGCTGATCAGCCCTGATTGGCTGGCTCTTCAGAAAGTCAGTGTTCATTGGAAAACTAGAAATCTGCTGTCCAAGTCATTTTCATTCATGTCCGTATTCATGAATTTCTAACTGAACTCCCAGAATTCTTATCAAGTTTAGTCCTTAAAGCAGAACAAGAAATGATAGACATTTCAAAGACATCTTACAGCCTTTTCACAGAACTGTCTTTTAATCGGACCATTTCAGAATAACGTTTGAACTCTTACTTGGAGAATGCACTCCACTAGACAACCGTTTCAACTGTAGTCAAAACGCTTTTCAAAAGCTACAGTTTAGCATGTCTAAAAAGAGTCATATCAAACACATTATGCAACTAAAAATAATCATAATTAGTATGGAGAAAAAGGATTCAGTGTAGCAGGGTGAATGGATATGAAGAGTGTTCACGTTGGTGAACAATGAAATCTCGATGACTACCAATAGCCACATGGCTCTATGTTGGACCGCCAATTTTATTGACCTCATTATGCTTGCGTTGGGTCTTAGAACAACCTCCATCAACTTTCATTGTTATGCAGATGATACTCCAATGTATCTATTGATCAAGCTAGAGGAAACCAGCTCGTTGTACTTCAAGCAGGTCTTAAGGACATCAAGGCCTGCAACTTCCTGATGTTAAACTCCGAAAAAGGTTGCTTTATTTGGCCCAGAGCACCCAAACTTAAATGTCCAGTAATAGCTTCTATAGATGGCATTCACAAAAAGAAATGAGTTGTTAAGGGTGTGTCCTTTAACTTAACCTAATTGAAATGGAGGCACTTCCTTTCTCAGTGATGACGAGCAGTTTAAGAATTTGTGAAGTCTAGATTAATCAAAATCAGGCACGCTAATAAGGCAAAGTCACTGCATCGCAATGGAAGTAGAACAGGGATCCAATTACTTCCTGAATTAGCGTCAGTCCAGGGGGCAGAGAGTCACCTCATTTAACACTAGGCACAAGACGCCTTTTGGAGATCTCGTCAGCCCCAGGTAACTTGCTACAAGTCTAGACTGCCTAGGATTCAAAGAGCCCATTCCATTCAACACAAGTTCATGGCCAATCATTGAGTCACAAAGTCTACTTCTTTGCTTTTGCACAACAACACGACAAACAGGGAAACGGCAATTTCAGGGACAGTTTTATTTAACACCAGAGATTAAAAGTAGGTACAAGCCAAAATGTCTTAAGAGGAACTATTGCCCAGAGTGCCGTTGCGGCCTTTAAAGTCGTCGCCCAGGGAGGCGTTTTGCCCTGCAGAGTCGTCGTCGGCCAGAGTCCAGTTGTTCCTGCTGGGGTAGCTGTCGTCGCCCACGGTGCCGTTTTGCCCTGCAGAGTCGTCGCCCACGGTGCCGTTTTGCCCTGCAGAGTCGTCGGCCCACGGTGCCGTTTTGCCCTACAGAGTCGTCGCCCACGGTGCCGTTTGGCCTGCAGAGTCGTCGCCCACGGTGCCGTTTTGGCCTGCAGAGTCGTCGCCCACGGTGCCGTTTTGGCCTGCAGAGTCGTCGCCCACGGTGCCGTTTTGGCCTGCAGAGTCGTCGCCCACGGTGCCGTTTTGGCCTGCAGAGTCGTCGCCCACGGTGCCGTTTTGGCCTGCAGAGTCGTCGCCCACGGTGCCGTTTTGGCCTGCAGAGTCGTCGGCCAGAGTCCAGTTGTTGCCGCCTGCGGCGTCGTCGCTCACGGTGCCGTTTTGGCCTGCAGAGTCGTCGCTCACGGTGCCGTTTTGGCCTGCAGAGTCGTCGCTCACGGTGCCGTTTTGGCCTGCAGAGTCGTCGCTCACGGTGCCGTTTTGGCCTGCAGAGTCGTCGCTCACGGTGCCGTTTTGGCCTGCAGAGTCGTCGCTCACGGTGCCGTTTTGGCCTGCAGAGTCGTCGCTCACGGTGCCGTTTTGGCCTGCAGAGTCGTCGTCGGCCAGAGTCCAGTTGTTGCCGCCTGCGGCGTCGTCGCCCTTTGTGCCATTTTGGACTTCGTAGTCATCGTCGCCCACTGTGCCGTTGTTCCTGCTGGGGTAGCTGTCGTCTCCCACAGTGCCGTTTTGGCCTGCAGAGTCGTCGCTCACGGTGCCGTTGTTCCTGCTGGGGTAGCTGTCGTCTCCCACGGTGCCGTTTTGGCCTGCAGAGTCGTCGTCGGCCAGAGTCCAGTTGTTGCCGCCTGCGGCGTCGTCGCCCTTTGTGCCATTTTGGACTTCGTAGTCATCGTCGCCCACTGTGCCGTTGTTCCTGCTGGGGTAGCTGTCGTCTCCCACAGTGCCGTTTTGGCCTGCAGAGTCGTCGCTCACGGTGCCGTTGTTCCTGCTGGGGTAGCTGTCGTCTCCCACGGTGCCGTTTTGGCCTGCAGAGTCGTCGTCGGCCAGAGTCCAATTGTTGCCGCCTGCGCAGAAAAACTGCATTTGAGTTGATTTGAACTTCTCAGGCTTCGCCGCCTGTTTGGCCGTGACACCTGCCGAATGAGACTGCGTTCCTGACTAAATTATCATTTCCTCGCAAAACGTCGCATCGTGTGCGCATTGGCTGATGATTCATATATTAACACTTTATTGTCATCCGTGGAGAAAGCGCGGCAGCCTTTCCTTTAAACCCTCCTCCCACCTTCACACGATGGACTAAATAAGCCCTCCACCGTTTTGACGGTTAACTCTGTTACTTCGCACCCGTAACCTATTCCGTGTTTCCGATGTGACGCCCATGTGAGGCTGTCGTTATGCAGACGTTTTTATTTCCCAGACTATTACTGATAGTGGAAACAGTTAGAATTAAAAATGTGCCGTATTGCCTGGAGTTTTTATTAGTCTTATAGCACGTTATTCTCAAATATAAGTGAATATCTATTACTTGGAAGTGCCACTCTTTTATGGTCTTTTTGTGGTTGCTTGGCAACCATGGCCGGGTAGGGACAGTTTGGTTTGATACTTAGTTTCTCTTAATAATTCTGCAGCATTTTTCAGATTTTTCTGACCCCCATGGGGCCTATTTGTAGACAAGGCATAGACGTACCACTGCTGAGGGGCTAAGAGAGATGAAAAGGGAAATGAAGAGTGACGAGGAATAACTCGAAATAAAGTATTTCTTATTCAACCAGCAAATGTTCACACTGCAGTCGTACATTTGTGGGTGTTGATCTTCATCTAAGTCCATAGTCCCAATGCGTCCAAGAAAAAGTGATAATGAAGACAAAAGTATGTTGTTCACCTTGGATGTTGAAGCGATCGATGTGACTGTAAAGTTTACCAAAGAGCGACCTGAGAAAAGCTTCTAATTCGTCCCGTCACATGGACGCAAAGATGTGACCTGCTGGGCCGACAGTGACCCGGGCACGAACTTTGTGGTCTCATTTATCTGCACAGAATCAGTCCTGATTCCTGACACCTTATTCGTCACAATCTTTAGTTGTCTAACAATGTAATGTAACTGTTGCATCAGTTACTCTGAGTCAATATGGAAACATTAGACAGGAAATATAACACAATTTTGATGAAATGGTGCAGTTTCATATGTGAACTTTTCAATGAACATATAAAATATCCTTTCCTCTCTGATTCATCCATCATGAAGCGAGTGCGAGGGTGAAGAACCGGACTCATGTGTTGTTCATCTTCAACGTGCTTTTGTGTTCCAAAGGAAAACATTGCACTCACACTTAACATCACAGTCTGACTTAATTGCAGTTACAGAAGATCTTGAGTGGCTTTGTGCACCAGAAGTGCATAAATAACCCCACCGGTTTGGTTTTTGCAGCGAGATGATAATTTGTTTTTCTTCTGCCTGAAGCAGTTTGTTGTTGTGAGCAATATATTCTCTCATAGCTGCATGTGTGTGTGTGTGTGTGTGTGTGTGTGTGTCTGTCAGAGAGAGACCACGACTTGAAATCCAAACAGAACATGCTGTCTACGCGAACTGTATTCATTTTGGATTTTTCTAAATATTTGTGTGAAATTGGTAAAAGTAGTCAGGCTTAGCGTGCACGCTGCCAGTAATGTTTACACTGCAAACCTTTACTGATCTGTAACACAAATGTCAAGGGATTTCCTTTGCCTGCCATCGGGGGAATGTAGCGATATGCGACAAAGTGACAGGAAAGTGCAGGCGGGAAAAGACTGCTGAGATTAGTGCACGAGCAACAAAGTGCTCAGAACAAACGTGGTGATTGAGCAATAAGAGCGAAGCAGGTTCAGAATGTCATCGGGAAAAACAGCCAGATGGGATACAGGTGGCACCTGGGACCAGGTGTGCATGCAGAACCGTGTGGCTTATGCGTTGTGCACCTGCGTGATGTGTTGGAATAATCTATGCATTCGGGAAGCATTAATATCCAGTGTATGAATTTTGTTTTAGTTTTGTTTAAGTGTCAATTAGACTAATTTCCGAGTATTGCAGCTTTTAGTGGACGTCTTTCACGGCTGCATTGATTATGTAGTTAATTTGTCTGTTTTCTTTGTGCGTGTGTGTGTGTTCACGTGTGGGTTAATGAGGATAACAGCTCTTCATGGTGATGGAATATTGATGGGACATAAACACGAGACGCTCAGTCTGTGGAGCCCCGTAAGGGTCTTAAAACATGAGAAGACTCTGGCATCACATCTCACCAACAACAGCAGGAGTCATTTCCCACATTTCCGCAGTGCTGTCGGACGCGTCTTCAGAAAAACACGGCTGCACATTCATGGCAGGCGTACAATGACGTGAGACAGACTTACAAAATGAGTTTCAAAAGGGGCTTTTCAAGAAAGGCTCAAAGTCTCGAGAGGAGGTGGACGAAGCCCGGCGCTGGCGAGCCTGTCGCAGGGACACGGCGGGATTCCATCAGGGAGGACGGCGTAGGACATCACCGAAGGGCGAGGCGTGAAATGTTCGGTCCGCCACGGCTTCATACAGTAAATATTATTTCACTGGAAGGAAATCTAAGAAGACAATCAAATAAATGATCTTTATTAGAGAAGCTTGTAACAGGCAGTATCGGACACTCGTCCTGTCCTCGGTCCTCTGTCCTGTCCTGTCCTCGTTCTGCTGATGGAATTTCAGTACAAGAGCATGTATTTGTCGTAGCATGTTAGCAGAGCTCGGGAGATGCAGGTGTGTAAAATATGACCACGACACAGAGAGCAGCGAAATAACATCAAAATGTTTTAAAAAGTAGTGATAAAAGAACCTGCAGGGTCGGAGCTTATGAACTTTCTTTAATAATTCAGCAGCGGCGCCCGCTCAACATTGTGTTTTGTATTCCGTCCATGTTAATGCAAAGAAATCCTAAAGCAAGGAGAAGATACAGAAACAATGCGCCAAGTCTGTGTGTGTGATGTTCTTCTTCTTCACTGCACGGGGACCATCTGACATCCACCGGTAAACGCAATCAATCAATTACATTTTCCCCTCTGAGTTATTTTAGAGACTCTATTAAATCTAAAGGCCGTATTCACAATGCCGAGAATTGAACCTCAATGTTGTCCTGTAAAACTCTCGGTTCTTAACGTTGCATCGCGTGACCTTTCTACCTCCGCTTCGCCCGCCTCCTGTTCACTGCTGTAAGAAGGGAAAAGGGATTCGGCGAGACGATGCGACAGGCCGACGTGCTTTATTCAGCAGGTTTTGAGCTCCAGGTAACATGCTCGGACTAGACAGCATGCGTATTTTCTCCATCAAGGCCACATCTTTGGTTTATAACCTTTGAGTTCTGCTTGTGACATAAAACGAGAGTCTCGACTCGCACGCCATCCGCACTGCAAATTCTTTACTCGATGACAGATGTCACGCACAATCAAATGTACACAGATGTTCGCTCACCACCAAATACACATCTGTGCCCTGAGCTGAGTGTTTCAGGCGTCAAACCTCCCTGCGTCCCACCGGAACAAGTTCCATCAATGACAGTTAAAAAACACACACTTTAAAACATCATTGAAGCACTTGTGTTTTGGCTCTAGATGCTCGGGCACCTTTGAAATCAAAAACCTAAAAATACCAAAGAAAAGTCCCTCGTCTCCAGCGTCACAGTAGTTCCAGAACGTCGGAAACGGTATTAATTCAGCACTTGAAGTTGTTCAGTGCTCCCTCGTTTTTTTCTGCAGAGTCGTCGCTCACGTGCAGTTTTAGCCTGCAGAGTCGTCGCTCACGGTGCAGTTTGGGCCTGCAGAGTCGTCGCTCACGGTGCCGTTTTGGCCTGCAGAGTCGTCGCTCACGGTGCCGTTTTGCCTGCAGAGTCGTCGCTCACGGTGCCGTTTTGGCCTGCAGAGTCGTCGCTCACGGTGCCGTTTTGGCCTGCAGAGTCGTCGCTCACGGTGCCGTTTTGGCCTGCAGAGTCGTCGCTCACGGTGCCGTTTTGGCCTGCAGAGTCGTCGCTCACGGTGCCGTTTTGGCCTGCAGAGTCGTCGCTCACGGTGCCGTTCTGGCCTGCAGAGTCGTCGCTCACGGTGCCGTTCTGGCCTGCAGAGTCGTCGCTCACGGTGCCGTTCTGGCCTGCAGAGTCGTCGCTCACGGTGCCGTTCTGGCCTGTGCTGCCATCGTCCAGAGTGCCGTTCTGGCCTGTGCTGCCATCGTCCAGAGTGCCGTTCTGGCCTGTGCTGCCCTTGTCGCCCTGCGCCTTTTCAACAATATGCAGGTAGACAGCTGATGTCGCCACTTCCACTTGATTGGTTTCCAGTTGGACTGAAGTGAAGACATTAAAATGAATGAATGAATGAAAAGTACCATGAGCCAGACACAGCCTCTATGAGACGTAAATACCACATAATGTCATCAAGAACCAGAGCCGTACACAAACAGCAAGTAGCGTTAAGCAGAAGTTGCTCACCTTCTTTAGACTTCCTCAGCAACACAGACTCAAGTGAATGCTGAAGTGTAAGGGCCTTCTTCATGGAGGAGTCATTAGGAGATAGATCTATAGTAAAGTTACAAAAATGAGTGTCATTAACAAACCTCATGAAATATGTAGTCACCAATATTCTTACCTCTCATTGTCCTCTGCTGCCCATTACCACTCATTTCATTCTTGCCACCAACCGGCAAACCAGAGCCTGCAGATAAAGAAGTTGCTTTTCATCAAACATTACTTCATCACCCCTACATTTACTATACTCCACCGCAAAGTTCTTGAATTGAAGTCTCCAACGGGACATAGAGAAATACCTTTGGTAAACCAGACAGTCAGCACAGAAACAAGCAAGGCCCAAAACACTCCCATTACTTCGGTCACCAACAGAAAATGCAACCTGAGTCACGTCGCAGGTAAATATACCCATCTGCAGGTGTCACAGGAGTAGCTGATCAGCCCTGATTGGCTGGCTCTTCAGAAAGTCAGTGTTCATTGGAAAACTAGAAATTTGCTGTCCAAGTCATTTTCATTCATGTCCGTATTCATGAATTTCTAACTGAACTCCCAGAATTCTTATCAAGTTTAGTCCTTAAAGCAGAACAAGAAATGATAGACATTTCAAAGACATCTTACAGCCTTTTCACAGAACTGTCTTTTAATCGGACCATTTCAGAATAACGTTTGAACTCTTACTTGGAGAATGCACTCCACTAGACAACCGTTTCAACTGTAGTCAAAACGCTTTTCAAAAGCTACAGTTTAGCATGTCTAAAAAGAGTCATATCAAACACATTATGCAACTAAAAATAATCATAATTAGTATGGAGAAAAAGGATTCAGTGTAGCAGGGTGAATGGATATGAAGAGTGTTCACGTTGGTGAACAATGAAATCTCGATGACTACCAATAGCCACATGGCTCTATGTTGGACCGCCAATTTTATTGACCTCATTATGCTTGCGTTGGGTCTTAGAACAACCTCCATCAACTTTCATTGTTATGCAGATGATACTCCAATGTATCTATTGATCAAGCTAGAGGAAACCAGCTCGTTGTACTTCAAGCAGGTCTTAAGGACATCAAGGCCTGCAACTTCCTGATGTTAAACTCCGAAAAAGGTTGCTTTATTTGGCCCAGAGCACCCAAACTTAAATGTCCAGTAATAGCTTCTATAGATGGCATTCACAAAAAGAAATGAGTTGTTAAGGGTGTGTCCTTTAACTTAACCTAATTGAAATGGAGGCACTTCCTTTCTCAGTGATGACGAGCAGTTTAAGAATTTGTGAAGTCTAGATTAATCAAAATCAGGCACGCTAATAAGGCAAAGTCACTGCATCGCAATGGAAGTAGAACAGGGATCCAATTACTTCCTGAATTAGCGTCAGTCCAGGGGGCAGAGAGTCACCTCATTTAACACTACGCACAAGACGCCTTTTGGAGATCTCGTCAGCCTCAGGTAACTTGCTACAAGTCTAGACTGCCTAGGATTCAAAGAGCCCATTCCATTCACACAGTTCATGGCCAATCATTGAGTCACAAAGTCTACTTCTTTGCTTTTGCACAACAACACGACAAACAGGGAAACGGCAATTTCAGGGACAGTTTTATTTAACACCAGAGATTAAAAGTAGGTACAAGCCAAAATGTCTTAAGAGGAACTATTGCCCAGAGTGCCGTTGCGGTCTTTAAAGTCGTCGCCCAGGGAGGCGTTTTGCCCTGCAGAGTCGTCGTCGGCCAGAGTCCAGTTGTTGCCGCCTGCGGCGTCGTCGCCCTTTGTGCCATTTTGGACTTCGTAGTCATCGTCGCCCACGGTGCCGTTGTTCCTGCTGGGGTAGCTGTCGTCTCCCACGGTGCCGTTTTGGCCTGCAGAGTCATCGTCGGCCAGAGTCCAGTTGTTGCCGCCTGCGGCGTCGTCGCCCTTTGTGCCATTTTGGACTTCGTAGTCATCGTCTCCCACAGTGCCGTTGTTCCTGCTGGGGTAGCTGTCGTCTCCCACGGTGCCGTTTTGGCCTGCAGAGTCGTCTCTCACGGTGCCGTTGTGCCTTGCAGAGTCGTCGCCGACGGCGCCGGTGTCGCCTGCAGAGTCGGCGCCCTCGGTGACGGTATGGCCTGTGTAGTCGTCGCCCGTGTCGCCTCTTTGGCCTGCAGTTTTCGTCGCCGACAGCGCCGCTTTGGCCTGCAGAGTCGGTCGCCCACAGGTGCCGTTTTGGCCTGCAGAAGTCGTCTGCCACAGTGGACCTTTTCGCCTGCAGACTCAGTCACCCACTGTTGCCTTTTGGCCTGAGA